AACCTGTAGTAATTATAGTGAAAGTGGTTGCTAGTGCAGGATTGAAAAGAGAAAGCATACCTGCCTGGGCAACACTTGCCACAGAGTGGGATCCAGTGAGAAATAAAGGCACCCTGGAAATAAAAGAGTATAAGATTGAGGAAAATACTCACTTCTGGTTAAAATCTAACATATGTGGTCAAAATAGCTACAGGGGGTAGTCAAAAACCCTCAGAAGAGGAAACTGCTAGATCATGTAAGTAATAAGATAGGAAAGTATTAGGAGTAGTCCACGTACCAGTCTGCACAACGTCTTCCAGAGAGCAATTCAACTGGGTGGCTAATGACATAGAGATATGACAAATCTGGTGAGATGTGACATGCAAAAGATTCCTCTACTGTAACGATAATCCATTATAGGCCATGTGAATCAATTTACGAAGCCACCTTTTTAGGGTAATGGGAGATAAATCATGAGAAATAGAAGGATTCCAATGAATAAACAGTTGATTCCTACTACCTCAAAATGAGTTAGCATAAGCCACAAAACACTTGAAGGCCCTAACAGGACATAACAAACTATCAGGAGCAGAGTGGTCATTAAGGTGAGAAATGGCTGGCAAATGGATTGGTGAGAAGGATCTTTCCCCTTCCCTGGCTGCCAGAGTCTTGGGAAAAAAAACTTATCCAGGTAAAGCAGGACAAATGTGGAATGATAAAGAGCCCAATGCACATGGATTGCAAACAACTCTGACTGATGACGTCCACAAGCCAACAACAAAAAAAAATACAATTTAAGAGAAAGGTGAAACAAAACAAGAAGCAAAGGGCTCAATGGGAAGATGAGACAGTGCATGTAAAACAACTGTAAAATTCCAATTCAGTAATTGAAAAGGTTGTTTGGGTCGAAGAATACGAAAGAATTTGAGTAGACCTGATAGTACTGAGAATTCAAAAACCTTCTGATATTTGGAATACCAAAAAATTGTGGATGAAGATGCATTATATAAAGCCACCATAGATGAAGCAAGACCCCTCTCCAATACCCAAGTCATAAAATGGGATATGGTAGAAACTTTAGGATGAAGAGGGTTTAAATTCCTTTTAATACACCACTGATGATAAGTATTCCATTTCTGTTAAATATAAAGAAACCTTAGAAGGACCGTATAACTTCCAAGCATGAAGATTGAGTTTCAAACATCTGGGTGGAAAATGTCTGATTGAGGTTGTCTCAAGAGGGACTGCCAATGTGGAAGAGGTAGAGGTGGACATTCCTGCAGATACCAAAGAAGCAGAAATCATGTTTGAGTTGGCCAATATGGTGCAACCAAGAGAACTCGACTGGGAGTGGAATGAACCATAGTCAGAACCCAGGGCAATAGCCAAATCAGGGGAAAGGCATACAGATGTAAACCTGTCCAGTCCTTACTGAATGCATCTACTGCCCATGCTTGAGGATGAGGTACCAGAGACCAAAACAACTGCAGGTGAGAAGTCCAATGAAAATCCACTGAAAAACCTTGTAATGTGGTATCCATTCCATTAGAAGAATCCAGATGGGTCAAGACAAGTGATTTGCAATTAAATTCATCATTCCTGGAACATGACATGCTAAGAGACTGGTACAATGGGAATGAGCTCAGTAGAGAAAATCCATGGTACGAAAACAAAGGTTTTGAGAATGTGTGCCTCCTTGACAAGAAATCTGAGATACCACCGAGGAATTGTAGGAATGTATCATGACAGACCTTGAACCACTGCCCTGTGTATTGCAAGGAATTTGAGAACATTGATTTGGAGGGTAGACTCGTCGTCCATCCAAATACCCTATAACTTCTGACCTTGAAGATACTCTCTCCATCCCTGAAGAAATGCATGTGTGAAGAGATGGAATGGGTACCCCAATAATAGTTTTGTTCTAATCCAATCACCATTCACAATCAACAGTGTTGCTCCTGAGTAATGAGACAGGGTGATCCAAAGGATTGGAATGCATGATACAATGGTCATGCAGTGACCACTGAAGGGACATCATATGTGCTCATCCCAAAGGAATGAGAGACTCGAGGGATGCCCACATCCCTCAAAGAGAGAAAACCATCCACGCAGTAGAAGTACACATAAGTAAAAGCCTGATGGCTCTTTCCATGGCTTGAAGCCTGATAGGGGTTTGTTGAGCACAACTGAAGCAAGTATTGAAAAACACACCCAGATGGACGAGATATTGGGTTGGTGACAGAACAGATTTCTCCAATCGATTAAGATTCTCCCCAACTGGTCCCAGATCATTTGCAAAATCCACCTCAGGACCCCCAGAGAGACACCCTAGGTCCGCATATATGTCTTCATCTCACAACAAATTATATCATGGACAACTTTGACTGAGAGTGATCCCTCCCTAGCTGTTGACCAACACCAGATAGCAGAGGTGGAAGAGATTAGGTCTCGTTGGCCTCCATAGTAAAAACATTAACTCACACCCATCAGTACATTTTCTTTTTGTTGTTGTTGTTTTTTAAAGTAATTTCTAAAC